GCTAGTCAGCCAAAACAGATCAATTACTGGACGAAATATAGACAAGGAAAACTTGTGACTACCAGATTCTTTCAGACTACAAAACTACACGTACGGAGGACAGACCACGTACTTCCCAAAATAATGTAAAAGGGCATCCCCAACCTATCAACAGCCAACGTGGTCAGAAAACGGCAGGAAATTGAGTTGGTGTGGGTAATGATGACAAATGTTTGTGGCAAATTTCTGACGTTGGCACAAAGTAAAAAACGGTCATATGCATCTAGAGCATGGCGTGACATTCTTGATTTCTTATTATTGTTGCCATTGTTATAGCTGTTGCTGATAGGTTTCAGTGCAGAGGAGACTCTGAGAACGATGCCCCAGACAGCTTTGTTTTTTAGCTATCTTTGTCTTGTTCTCTGGTTTGCTGACCATCATACAGACTTCAATCTAAAGCCCAGATAATTTACACTGTCGACATCAGGTAGCAAATGAATTCATAGTTCTTTGTATTATGACCCCCAACAAAACACAACCATCCACATCAGCTTGGTATTGGGCACCTGATATCATTGCTGAGCATCTTATAGGTTTCGCTTACAAATGCCAAAAGCAATAATCAGCAGTGGCAACTGCACACATTCCAACTGCCAGATTTCTTACATGCGTTTCTCCAGACCATATATTCATTATGTTTAAAAAGACGAAAATATTTGCCAGTGCACATAAATCATGTCAATACAACGGACACCAAAGGATCTACACCTCAATGTATATAGTACAAGTTATGCATTTAATGTTTGCGGTACCAATACGCAGGTACCGCCAACAAAACAACAGGCCAGCAACAGATCTGGTTCCATTATCCACCTACAGAGCGGTCTTTGCTAAAGCACTTTTTTTCTTTCCTCATTGTCATTTCTCACACACGTGCGGGCGTTTATACCTCCGGCTATCGGTTTTGCCATTGTTTCTCTAAAGTCACCGCAATTTACCAGTACATCCGTGTCTGTTTCTCATGTCACTTCTCTACCAGTCTCCAATCTACGGTTTTCTATTTTCCAGCCTGTCTTGTATGATAGCACTCACTTGGCACACCATCAACATGTTGTGTTGGAGAGGCAGATACATAGAATAATTCACAACTTACCAAAGTGGCTTCATTTGCATTGTGAACACGGGAAGTATTGATCCCGCACTTCTCTTCAAATCCCAACTTTGACCTTGAAAAGAAGAATGAAGATAAGGCTGCAACCACAAATGGGCAAGAAGAAAAGCATTGTGACACTGACAGCTCGTCGCCTGACGTGTCGCAACAAAACACTCACGATAGTTCACCAGAAAGCGACCAGAAGACGACAAGCGCTTCAGCATTGAAGGATTTCGCCTCCACCGTACTGCCTTCAGTTGGTATTACTCTTAAGACATTGTTAATCCCACGCAAGGAAATTTCAAGCCCGTCAAGATCAGCAACAGACGAGACTCATTCCAAGCCATCTCACGTCAAAGACTTGAATTCTACCAGGTTTGATAACAAGGATCCCAGGAGCTACACTCCCCGGTATAACTTTGAAGATGATAGCATCTGGGACAACAGCAATTCCGGGAGCTCCAGCAGTTCCGATCGGCAAAGAACTGGAGATTTCTTCCATGGACAATTGGAGCCGTCTGATGTAACTACTGTTGAAACTGATAGAGGTGTCGTTGAGATCACAAATGGCATGAACCAGCTCACTCTTTCTCTAGACATTGATGGTACCAATGCAGATCCAATAGAAAGGGCGACCGACCTACCACCGCTGGTGGAACTGTGGTATGATTTCCCTTCAGGTAATGTTGGCTTGTTTCTGACAAAGGACGAGTACAAGAATACTCAAGTGCAAGAAGTCAAACAGAGTTGCCCACTTTTTGATTACGTTATTTGAGGCAACATTCTTTTATCTGTTGACGGCATTGCCACACATAAAATTCCTTTGAATGAAGTGCAACAGATCGTCATGGGGAGATCTTGTTACCACGCTCGTTCGTTTCTTTTTGGCCGCAATCTTGCCAATTGTCAAGGTAAGACCGTCTTGCCCCACATTCTATTCCACACTATGTGGGCTTGCTAAGAAGTCATAGTATCTCTTGCGCATAGACCCAACGTCCCAATCTCGCTGACAGGGAATGCGCAGATCCGTTCCAAGTGTTTCAAGGACTGTCCGACCTGCGAGCTCCCGACATATTCAAACTAACTACAAAGCAGCATCTGAGCATGCCGTCACCAAAAGAAGGAATGCAAGCTTCATACATAAAGGTCTGAAAGCTGGTACTAGACCTGTCAAGTTCATGCAAATCAAGGGGCGAGAAGCTGAGAAAGCAAGAAGAATACTCAGCATGCGGTTTTTCAACTGGGACAAAATGGTGACTCCTTGGCCTTATGACCACAAGGGAAAGCCAACTGAGGAATGGGAGCCTATTATTCCTTTCTTGGTGGTTTTGGACCCACTAAAGCCCTCAGGCCAAAACGGAGGTACACAAGTATATTGCAATCGTCAACTTCGCGAGAAACGAAAAGTAGTGATTGTTGTTGCAACTGAAAAGTTTCGACTAGCGAAAGCTGTGATGAAAGATTTAGTCAAATATGACTTTGAGTCTTCAGCACACTTTGAGGTCAAAACCGTAAGTACCGAAGCTGATTTCATGACAGCAATGAACGGAGTTCGAAAGAAGGAGAAAGCAACAACTCCCCAAAAGCCCCCCTCTTCCGAGACAGAACGCCAGGTTGATCTTTCGGCAACACCAGCTCTCACTCGATGAAAACCTAGATGCTTCATGACAAGAATAAAAGCATTTGACTATAGTTTTTATGTTTGTAGCTGTTTTTCCACTTTGAAATGAGATTTTACAGTAGGATGAATCTTGTAGAAAAAGCCAACCTTTGCATCGTGAATTTGCCGATTGCGGCTTTCCTTAGAGATGAATGCGCCTCGCAGCTTTTCGAGGTCTTTAAGCTTTGATATCACATCATCACAAGTCACATCCTTGTTCCGTTTTACTTCTTTGGCAATGAGCGCGGACATCAATGCCAAGATTCCTCAATGGTGGTACTTTTCTTTTCAAATTTGGGTTGTCTTGTCGAATCAAAGGGCATAAATCTTTGACATGGCAGAATGGATGTGAGATGCAATACTCCATGTGTCCAAGTTTGTAGAATGTCAATCGCTGGTAGTCAATATCACGAATACCAAATATGCCGGCAGCATAGGGATCTTTGCCTTCGTCTTCGCAATCGTCCAAGATACAGTCCAAGTTTTTCTTTACTGTGCATAGTTTGCCTTCGTAGCAAGGTGCTAGAACAGGGTCATCCTTGTCGACATGCTTGACTGTCTGCACCACCCAGTTATCCATTTTCTCGTCCTTGTTTTTCAGAAAGTCTTTATTGTCATTACAGTACACAATCATGTCCCAAAGGTTTGGTAGACGAATTCCTTCTAGGTACTTTACATGTGTCTTGGAAGCTTGCTTGTGCAAATAACTCATTGATGCCGAAATGAGGAACTGTGAAAGCAAATCAATAAGCTTCTTTGAACAATTAAAGGCATGGAGTAGACCACCAACAGCTCTCTGTAGAATCGAGACATTCCGACTGCCGCTTTTCTTTCCAGCATTGGAATCTATCTGTTGTAGGATGTTGTGGGCTGCAAAGCATGCGAGTAGATTTGATACCCGAGGACTTGGAGCTTCAATTTTAGACCGAACACTTTCATCAAGAGGCTCGCTGTTTGCAAAATTGTAAAGAAATCGGAAGCCAGGGTTTCGACATTTCTTGATTGCATAGTCGATCAAACTCTCGAAATCGTCTTTGTCTCTGTCGAGCGTTTCCTCGGCTCCTCTCTCTTTCCCGTACAAAGCTCTTCCAAGGCTCCTTGCCCACGATATAACCGTTTCTCTCAAATCCTCGTTCTGGAATTCGCCGTTTTTTTCGATTATTGCGGTATCAATTTTGCCAGAATTTCCATTTGCGCTCACATGGGCAAAGTATAACAACGTTTTGCCGCCTGGATTGTCATCATGCTTCATGAAGTATCGCATTGGGTCTTTAATCTTGCTTGGATTCATGTACACGTCCCGCCTAACTGGATCCCGATGACTGACTATTTTGGTTAGATTGGGACCAATTGTATGGCTTGAAATCGATGCCTTGCATGTTGGACAGGAAATCCATTCTGTTGGAGGAACCGTCGCAAGGCGTTTGGATAGACATAGAAAACAAGAGCAATGATCGCATTCGTTTCCACTTGTAGCCTTTAGAATCGCATATCCTTTGATCGGCGGGAGCGATTTGTTGCACCAGCAGCACAGCATGAGGTTCTACTTTCTGGAAACCCTGGTATGCTTTGAAACAAAAAGAGGATGGATCATCTTGTTTGTTTTGAATCGAATTTGTTGCGGGATCTTTTCATGTGTTTCAGTTTGATTGTTGTTCAAATGAAACGTGATTCAGTCAGTCAGTCAGTCACGAATCAGCAATTTTTGTGATGCGCGTTATCATTTTTGGTAGGGCAATTTACGTACAAAAACGCTGTAGAACCGAGCGACTTATTGTCGCACGGTCCGGCGGATGACGACATGTAAACGTACAGGTGTTTTAAGGCCAGGCAGACATACCTGAGACTGGTTGGCTCGCTGACTGAAGCCGACAACACTAGCGATTTGTACGTGCGCGTTATGCGTACGTTGAGCGATAGTTTGCTTGGATGTTTTCACATC